TTTACAGTTATCTAAAATAAAAAGTTTAGATTTTAAAAAGTCTGTACTAGAAAATAATAGATAACATTTATTGCTGTGTATTAGTCACTGTTCAAAAACACTTTACATGTATCCATCTCGTTTGATCCTTGCAACTCCTTGTATGAGGGTAGGTATTACTATGATCCATATTTTAAGGGAAAAAAGGTATAGAGAGGTTAAGTGAATTGCCCAAGGTGACACAGCCAGTAAGATCCCAAACTGGGAATTAGGCTCAGGGTTGTCTACCTCCAGAATCTGCACTTTAGATAATTTTAAAGTGCAAATTAATATTAATAAAAGTGAAGTGTTCAGTGTCAAAACAATGTGAAGTACAGGAATAACCTTTAGTTGGTTGGAGTTGTCTGTGAAGGAAACAACCGTGTACTGAGACTTTTCTTCATTCACTGAACATTTAGTACTTGCTTTCTATAAGAATGGCCAATAGGTTTCATGTCATAGTCCAACTCTGATGGATTGACATTGGCTGCCTAGAAAATTAGGTTAACACAGATTCTGATGCCACATTACAGTTGAGCAAGAAAGAGTTTTATGGTTATAGATATTTGCCACTTACAAAGTGGAAGGAAAGAGATGGCATGAAGAATGAGTGATAATGTATGTGCATCTGTCACTATTCTCAGATTTAAGTGTTTTACATGTATTATACAATGTAATCCATACAAAACACTGCATGTTGAGTATTATTCACTTTTTATAGATGAGGAAACAGGCTCAGAGAGTTGAGTTAACTTGTCCAAGCTCACACAGCCAGTGAGTGGCAGAACCAGGATTGAAGCCAAGTTCTTCCTCCCTAGGAATCATGCTCTTTTCAGCACATCTCCTGAAGAGGAATTTTATTGAGCTCTTGAAAGAGATGATGGACATGGATTGGCAGAAATAGCAAAAAAAAGAGGGATTCATGCATAAGCACAGAAATAGAAATCAGGGCGCCTGGGTGGCTCAGTTGGTTAAGCGACTGCCTTCGGCTCAGGTCATGATCCTGGAGTCCCTGGATCGAGTCCCGCATCGGGCTC